ACTTAACAACAAACTTAACAAATGTAACTTGAGGGTAGTAAACTGAGATTAACCCTATATCATATATATATATATATATATATATATTATGTACATGTATATGTATGTATGTATATATGTCACATCCCGACCCAGGCTCCACCACATCCCGGGTTCAACTCCGCCGTAGCACGATATTGTCCGCTTTGCGCCCCAACCACGTCCTTACGTTTTTGTTTCTGGGAACTCACACGAGAACTTCCCAGTGGGTCACCCATCCTGGGAATGCTCTCGCGCGAATTTGCTTAACTTCGGAGTTCTGATGAACTCCAAATCCAGTGAGCTCCCAAAAAACCTCGTGTTATATTGATGTGGGCATGTACATATAAGACACATCACCCGCTCTCCGTTGGTCGATGTGGGATCTCACAATATAAACATGGGTACATTCATCAGAATTAACAAAAAAATTATTGTACCAAAATATGGGTACATTCTTCAAAACCACACAACAAATAATAGATATTAGGCTTAATAACATTAGTAATTTTTTTTTTATTATTAAACTTGACATGGATACATTCTCAAATCAAGAAAAAAAAATGTACCCATATAAGTTTAAAAATGGATTAGAAAAAAAATTGAATAGATTTTATATTAAAAAAGGGTACATTTTACTAGAACAAATTGATATATTTAACAATGAGTACATTTTAAGATTAAAAATTTTTAAAATTACATGAATGGGTATATATAAGATTAAAAAATTGGAAACATTTTTATAAAAAATTAAGGGGTACAAACTTATTCTAATTTTTTTTTTTTTTATAATTTTGGAAATGTTTTGAATTTGAAAATTAGTTAGGAGTTTAATAAAGGTGTGAGTATTAAAATCCTAAATCAATTATTAATTTTTATTTTTAAAATTACGTAAAATCATTATTGCATTAATGATAGGGACTTGATCAAAATCTGAAAACTAATAAGGTTTCAATTAAAGAACATTAGTAACTAAGGACCGAATACTAGTTTTTTCTTATATTATTTATTGACTACATTGTTAATTACGTCTCTAACATATTTGAGACCTAGTGAAGTGTGACTTATTTATCCAAGTGAGTTTCTCCTCTATGAAAAATATGATTCCCAAATATGAAACATTACTTTACACCATTTGTGAAACTAATTGATGAAAGATTCTAAAACTTAGAAGTCCAGCTCTAATAATCTCAATACCCAATACAGAGAGATCTTCACATAAAAGTATAGAGATTGTACGTGCAATACTAAAAACAAGCTTTAAATTGCTTGAAACTTCTTATAATTTAATTAATACTTGGAACATTCGTATATTCACTGGAAGTCACGCCTTGAATTATCCCCAAAGTATCCGTGTCCTTTTAGCCCACAGAAGGGACGTTTTGGAATAGCTTCAATTGGAAATGGAAACATCCAATACGACATCCTTCTAATCCAATGAATCCTCATTTTGGCTTTGTATGTACGGCCAAGTGATGAGAGTTTTTTTAGTGTGCTCGGAATACTTAATAGAACCTATGTCATGATACAATTAGAGGGACATTTGGAGGAGAAAAAAAAAAACTTTTCTCCAATTGTATAATGACATGCGTTTTTCCGTCCTGTGTTCCGAGCACAATAAATCTCTCGAAGTGATGTCTCATCTTTTACTCTCACTGTTCTAAAAATCCCCGACTAGCACCTAGGCACCACCGCTCCGATTAATGACTAGATGTTTGAAAATTAAGAAATGGCACCTAGAGCTATTAAGGCGCCCACCTAGACCGCCTATGTTGCGACTCACTTAGACAGAAAATAGATAGTTTTCATTTTGCATTTTATTTTTTTCAATAAATTGTAAGAGACTTGACTTGTTGAATATTTAAATGAACACACATTATATGTTTCTTTCCTATATTTTCATTATGTTCCAATAGCTCATAATATATATGTCATTCTATGATGAAATTATATATATTTTAAGTATAAATAGATACTTGTTTACACGAAATATAATAGATTTAATTAAATCCGTCTAGTCCGCCTAGGCCCCGCTTAGGCGCTAGGCCTCACCTCGCCGCTTGACTAGCGCCTAATGTGTTTTAGAACCTTGTTTATTCTATATGACCTAATTAATAGTATATGCTAGCTTAGTCCATAGTGACGGGATCGAGTGGCCTTGCATTCGGAAGCATGCAATCCAAATTAAAGTGAGTTGTGAAAAGTTAATTGTATTGGAATCCCATTCTCCACAAACTTCATTTTGTTAATTAACAATAAATTAAATATACTTTATGTAGCATTAGATTATTAATTGTGTTCCTAATAAGATAAAGATGCCACGTACCCGAGTCGCGACTATAACTTCAATGCTTTTACTTTGTCCATTTCGTCATCTTTATCATTAGTCCCATGTGTGCCACTTTCTTCCCAACTTCTGCGCCTTGTAAATATAGCCACTCACCCACTTAACTCTTCAAGTGAAAATAACTTGTTCATCTAATAAAACACATATATGATTATGTATAATAACTTAATAAGGTTCTCCCTAACATATTGTATGGCATCTTATGCTATCAAATTACTGATTAATATGGATAATTGGTTGCGTAAAGTCTAATTTTACTGCATGTTTACTTTAGAATTATCATTGGAATTATTCTAATTTCTAACTTACGGAATTAAAATGTTGGTTCCTTAATACAATTCATAATCTAATACACATTCCTTTCTCTCCACATTCTTGACTTCCTCATTTTATAAATTTCGATCAATTCCAAATAAGTAATGATGTATGAAGAAGGAAAATTCCTCAAATTAATTTTGTATGTAATTCTTTGAACATCTTTCTTAAATTTAATCAAAATAATACAATGTGAACCATTTATTTATATTGGTTAAGAACAATTGGTGACACCCTTTTGACATGTAAGGGATTATTATTCTTTGAAAAAGGGAAGGAAGAAAGTTGGGGATTCTTCTACCATTATATGAAAAAGCAATAATGGATGGTTGCTATTATACAAAATTGGTTTCCCTAAAGAATGGAATACACATTTACGCCCAACTTAATTGGCTGTTAAATCCAATCCAGCTCGACTCCCCACTCCCTTGTATGTTCTAAATAATGCTTAATTAGAGATGGTAATCATCCTAGCAGCACTAAACATATTTTGGTCTTGCGTGCAAGAGTTCCTTGAGTAGTACAAACTATATAGTACAGCCAGAAGCAAATAGAAATAGAAAGAAACAGAAAAAGAATCTAGTCACAGATCTTAGATAATATCCATGCAGAGGTATATCTATCGTACGGTGGAGGAACGAAATTATGCAAACCACACCGTTGGGCGGAGACATGCAGCCGTCCCTCACCAAGTTCCTTGGAACCCAACCCATAAACCCTCGATTACACAGTCGAATCAACCACGCACTCAACTTTACCTCCTATAACTTAACCCTAGTTAATCAAATCAAATGCTGGTTAATATTAATAATTACCTACAACCAGTAATAACTCGAGCGATTTTAACATTCCTCTTTTTTGAACTATTGGTACGTGCATTCAAAACCGTTCATTTTTCACCCCTTTTTTACATTGATGGAAGGAGTATTTTTTTTATAGGCTTTTTAGCCAAAATGGTTTCTGAGATTTGTATAACACATCGCTTTGGTCCCTAAGATTAAAAATTAATAGAAATGATCCCTGAGATTGTCCACCATCCATTATTTTGGTCCTTCCATTAAAAACTCCGTTAAGTGTTCTGGAGCTCTTGGCAGAAAGTTTGGGCAATTTTCAAAGCTTCGTAACTCAATCGTTTCTTAACCAAATTCAACCCATGATATATCAAAATGAAGATAGGAAAGTGTAAAACAAGATTATACCTATTTGGAAGCCCAATGGTTGCCTGAGATGGTCGGAAAATAGCCTGATAGATGACTGGTCCACGGAAAACTGGAAAACCCGTCGGAAACTGGGTAAACTTTAAACGTTCATAACTTCTTCAATACTCAACGAAATTGAGTGATTAAAAAACAAAAATTATACTTCTCGATGAGAATAAGAGAATGGTATCTTTATTGATGTCTAAATTGCCATATTTTTTCTGAAAAACGGCTCGAAAGTGGCTGTCTTGATCTCGAGTTAGCCACTTTTGAGCCCTTTTTCGACCAAACCACGGATAATTAGCCATCAAGAAGGTACCATTCTCTTTTTCTCATTAAGAAGTGTGATTTGTGTTTTGAATCACTCAATTTCGTTGAGTATTAAAGAAGTTATGAACGTTTAAAGTTTACCCAGTTTCCGGCGAGTTTTCCTGTTTTCCCGCGGACCAGTCACCTTTCAGGCTATTTTTCAGCCATCTCCGGCAACCATTGGGCTTCCAAATAGGTATAATCTTGTTCTACACATTCCTATCTTCATTTTGATATATTATGGGTCGAATTTGGTTAAGAAACGATTGAGTTACGAAGCTTTGAAAATTGCTCAAACTTTCGGCCAAGAGCTCCGGGACACTTAACGGAGTTTTTAACAGAATGACCAAAATAATGGATGGTGGACAATCTCAGGGACCAAAGTGATGTGTTATGCAAATCTCAGGGACCATTTTGACTAAAAAGCTTTTTTTATAATGTAGGTACGTACAGGTAAAAATAGTAATGTCAAAATCCTTATGGAAGGAGTATTAGAAACACTAATCTAGCAGTTAATTTGGATCATACGTTCAAATAGAATAGTTAATCATTGAACACTAATTGTAATATCTAAACTATATGCTCATAAATTATGAACAATTATATATTCATGTAATATATATTGACATATGTTTTTAGATTGTTAATATAAACAAATCACAAACTTATATAATCCCAATATTTACATAAAATACTTTAATTAATCTGTTGACGTTGTAAATTTATATCAACAAATTATTAATCTAATGATATTCTTCTTTAGTTAATGAATGTCCTACTACCTCCCCCTTTTTCTTTTTCTTTTTTTAAAGCTAATATTTGCATACGCCAGGACCTGATAACATTTCCCATTCTCACTCACTATATATACAAGTCATGATGCCAATTATAACACCCTCCCACATTTCCAATATAAATTAAACGCAGGCGAGTCCTGCATGTGGGTTAGATCATCTAGTCCTGCTGTTGTTGTCGTCGACGTCGTCGTTCAAGATCAGAATTCGATCTGTTACTATATATTAATGCGTGAAGAATGAGTTGCAATGGATGCCGAGTTCTAAGAAAGGGTTGCAGTGATAACTGCATGCTTAGGCAATGCCTACAATGGATGGAAGACCCCCAAGCTCAAGCCCACGCCACCGTTTTTGTGGCCAAGTTCTTTGGCCGCGCCGGCCTCTTCTCTTTCATCAACGGCGTCTCTGAGTCCCAACGACCCGGTATATATAAAGTTTTCCCTTATCAAATCAAAATCGAAGTATGTGCATACAAACGTTCACACTGCAATACGTTGTTTTTGCATGATGATCAATCAAGCATGCAAAAATATTTAAGTATGCAGTGGACGTCTGATTTAAACGTTCATATGTGTGTGTGCGCGCGCGCGTGTGTGTGCAAATTATAAAGATATCTACGATCTCTGATGAGAATAGGTTTTATTGGTTTAGCTTTGTTTCAGTCGTTATTATTTGAGGCGGTGGGGCGGACTATAAATCCTGTAAATGGGGCAAGAGGGCTTCTTTTGAGTGGGAAGTGGGAGGTGTGCCAGGCGGCGATAGAGACGGTGTTACATGGCGGCGCGTTGGAGCCACTTCCCGAGTATAGTCGTGACAACCATTATGTTCGTGAACATCAGGTTCGAGTAGAACAACGGCAATCCACCAAGAAGAAGAGGCCTAATTTTGCTGTCGATGATGACGTGGCTAATTTCCAACTGCCCGATCTCAATCTTTGCTTGACATCTGCAGCTGGGTTGACGTCGAGGACGAAACGGAGGGATTGTAGAGCGTCAACGCCGTCCGTTGAAGACTAGGAAACGACGACGTTGGGGAGTTCTTCATCAGAGAACAAAGGTACTGCTGGTAATTTAGAGAGAACAAAGCTTCTGAGGTTATTCATTTGAAACCTTGTTCTCCTCCGTTTTGTTGTTGCCGAGTAAATAATCTGTGGGGAAGAAAATATTTCCACAAATTATTAAATAGTCTTTGGTTGTATAAGCATATAAGGCACTCTTGCATTGAGTTGATTTTTGACCTTTTACTATAGATTTGAATCATTTGATCTGAAATTTTTTTTTTTTTAAAGGATTAATTATCTTAAACCTCCAATCTTTTAGTGTCATTCTAAATTAGTCTCAACTTTTTTAAACATTCCAAACAAGTACCCAACATATTGTCATATCCATTAAGTTTCAGTTAAATTTTCAGTTAAATGTACATGTGACAATAATAGATCCCACTTATTTGCTTAATGACCCTATAATACATATTGTCATATCCATTAAGTTTCAGTTAAATTTTCAGTTAAATGTACATGTGACAATAATAGATCCCACTTATTTGCTTAATGACCCTATAATAATAATAATAAGCATGAAGATGGAAAAAAATCACAAATAAAATGAAATATAAAAATGAAGAACAGGAAACTCCTAACAAAGAAGAGGGTGAAGAATTCAAATAGGGTCTCCAGGAGCTTATTTCTGCTCATGTGATTTCCTCATTCACCAATTTTCAGCTAGTAAAGCTTCAAGTTCTTCTTGTGGGGAATGAAGATGGTGGTGACCGTATCATGGCAATCCATACTATTTAAGCAACCTCCATGACCTTCTTTTCGATGTTGGCGGCTTGAGTTATAAGGTGGAGTTCTTGGTTGTGCATTGGGTTTGGAGGTGATGGCCTAAAGGGGGTGGTGGTGACCGTCACTTGATGGAGGTCATGCTTCCCTGACTTTCTATTGATGTTGGAGACAAAATAAGCCCTAGTTAATTTGATAGAAAGTTAATTGGGGCTTAAACGGATGTAACATTTTCAATTAGTTTGGTACTTGTTTGAAATGTTCAAAAAAGTTGAGATCAATTTGGAATAATACTAAAAAAATTAGGAGTTTTTTAAGTACTTAATTACTTTTACCGTGCATATTTTGTTTTAGGAAATCAATGTGCAAATTGAATATTCAGAGGCCATGACTGAAGATGTAATACATGCATGGACCACATTTTGAATCTCTGTGATTGGCATAATGTGCAAGGGTTGTCTAAATTTTGATGATGGAAAGTTTAAATTAATTAGGTAGGGGAAATATGGACGAGTGGACTATTACTGCTGTTGGCCGTTGATTAGCTTCAAGAGGCGCATTTACACTTTTATAGACATGCATGTATACTAAAATTGTGAAGAAAAGTGTATATATACATACATACATGCATACATACATACATATAAAAAATAAAATATATATATAATATAAATGTATTGAACAAACAATTTTATGTAATCTAGTGATTCCAAAATAATCAAGCATACGCTTGCTTGCGAACGTAGTGTTACAAGTTCATTAGAGTGTAGCAAACATGGGTATTCTCAACTAATATGTGTATCGTATTATAATATAGAAGTAGTACAAAATATGGAAATTCTTGACAATATATATATATATATATATATCGTATTATACTATACAAGTAGTACACCGTAAGGGAATTCTTGTTGTAAAGCTCAATATAGCGCTTGGTGTTTATACATGCAAGTCTTAAATGTCAAAATCAGAAGAATAATCTTAGGAGACGAGTTCGGTTGATGTAACTTTGCTCTCTTATAGCTAGAAATGCTTTCTTACTTAGCCTAGTTCTCTTACCCCATGTATAATGTAGGAGGCATATTTTCAATAAAGAAAAAAGAAACAGTTGATTACTCGGAGTCTCGGATTGGTTCTCGCCTCTCAGCTCAAAACGATTTGTGAGTTCGGTTGAAGTGTTCATCGATTGGACGAGACGCGGAGTGTAACGCATCTGAGTTGGGTAGAGAGGGCCATAGTCTTTATCACCTTGACGTGGCAATAGAAAATAACGTATGAAAATCTACATGATTAAGGTATTGGTCTAGTGGCATGTTGGTGGACGGCATGACAGCACTCATATAGCTCATTTTATGGTTGTGGTTAGTCATCCAAGACTGAAAATCCAACCCACTTCCCTTCATTGTAGACTTCTTGTTAGGGGTGGAAAAAAATTCTGAGAATTCCGAACCGTACAAAAATGCTGCAAACTGTTCGGTACCTGAAACTGAACTGATCTCGAAAAGTTTGGTATGAGATTCAGATCCCAATTACAAACCAAACCGATACATATTTTATAATATTTTATTTAATTTTAAGTTAAATTCAAGAATTATGTAGACCATTGGATTTGGTTGAGATTAAATCTCAACCGTTCATTCATTACCCTAACTCTCTGAGCTCACTTGAGTCACCTCACTGTCACAGTCACACACACTCTCTCTATCTCTCTCGTCTTGTCTCGACTCGACTCGACTCGTCCTCCGCCACCCAAAATCGAGCTTTGCTTCACAGCCACTGCAATGGCTTCCCTCACTGTCCTTTGTCCTAGGGCGTGCTCTGCCCCCGGTACCTGCCTCAACTCCTCCGCCCAGTCGTCGCAGCTACAACAACCCCTACTCTCTTCCAACAATTGCCTCAATCGCTACTCCATTCCATCTCTGCAGATTTCTGGCCTTCAGGTTTGATTAATTGCGCAAACCGTTACTTTGTAAGCTTTATTTATATAAATTTTATTGCTTTTTGTGTTTTCATGCTTTAGTTTTGTATTTTATTCAAATGGGTATTCTTTGTATATGTTGTATATCTTCATTCTGAAGCTTCTTTAATTTTTTCCATACCGAAATTTTGGTTCAGTTTCGGTTTTCCAAATCCCGTCGCGTAAAGGATTGGTTCTGAATTCAGGTTATGCTTTTTGGTTCGAGATCCCAACCTGAACCACCCTAATTGTAGGTCATGTATGCTTGGAGAAGGGAAAATATTAAGGGTTTTTGCATGTGTCGCTGCATCTCTGAATAAAATGAGACATTTGAGAGTGGATTCAATTGGAACTTCCCTACAACTTTTGGGTCACTCACCTTCCAATATTTCTTCTATAAATCTTATTTCAAATATCAATATACGTATGAAATCCTAATTCTCAAACATAATAACAATTTTATGGCACTTAAACATTGTCTGGTGAATTAATAATATTGTGAAAATTTGCCACTTAGTACTACGATCTAGTGGTATTTTTCTTTCTTTATAAGTGAGAGGTCTTAGGTTCGATTTTCGCCAAAGGCGAATTTGAACCACATTATTGTTAGCCTATTATGAGGTTAAGCTCACCCATCTTCCCTCGTAGTGTAGATAATACAATTTAGTAAAAATATTGTAAAAAAATTGTGGATCACCCTAGTGGTTAGGCCCTTTTCCTCTTAAACTCATTGTATCAAGGCCCTCCCCCTTCCTCTTACTATAAATTAGTATAGAATATAGCTTGTATTAAAAAAAATAACATTGTGAAAATTGAACCACTTATAACATGTCTAGATTCTCGATTTTGAATGAGAAGAAGGAGAATTTTAATTTAAAAATAGGAAGTAATAATATAAAGACGGGTAAATTACATAAAACTACCTCAACTATTAGGTCATTAATAGTTTCATACCTCATCTTTAAAAAGTTTCAATGGCATACCTTATCTTCGAATTTATTGCAATGTCATACCTTCCATCAGTTGTCTATCAATTCATCTGTTAAATGCTGACATGGCATGAGGCTGGGCTCACTTTCTATTAAAAAAAAAAATAAATATTAAAAAGTAATAAAATATTAAAAAATATTAACTAAGTATTAAAATTTGAAAAACAAAAAAACAAAACAAAAAAAAAAAAAAAACAAAGCAAAACCCATATCCCATCACACACCCCCCTGTCACCTCTTGACCCGAGGCGGATCACTTCCTAGGCCCGCTCCACCACTGTAGCACGATATTGTCCGCTTTGGGCTTACCATTCCCTCACGGTTTTGTTTTTGGAAACTCATGAGCAACTTCCCAGTGGGTCACCCATCATGGGATTGCTCTAACCCCCTTCTCGCTTAACTTTGGAGTTCCAACGGAACCCGAAGCCAATGAACTCCCAAAAGGCCTCATGCTAGGTAGAGATGGGAATATACATAAAAGGATCACTCCTCTGGGCGATGTGGGATGTCACAATCCACCCCCCTTAGGGGCCCGACGTCCTCGTCGACACACCACGGCCAGGGGTAGGCTCTGATACCAAATTGTCACATCCCGACCCGAGAAGTGATCCGCCCTGGGCTGGGATGTGACACCTCCCCCCCCCCCGCCCCACCCCCCGAAACCCCATCCCCTTCATCATCTTCCCCATCCGTCGTCCCCTCTCCCCCACCCCTTTCTTCCCCCTTCCATCTTCCCCACACCCACCGCGCACCCATCCTCCACCTCCTTCTCCACACCCATCCTACATCTCCTCCTCTGCACCTAGATTCTTGATTGGTTTCAAAGGTTCCAACTCTCTCACACTCCCTCTTCGATCTGATTTACTCCACCATTTCAAAAATCCACAATTTTTTCTACGGTTTTCTCACTGATCTGAGCAGCAAATCCGCCATTGAAGCTCGGGGAACTGTGTTTTGCAGGGTTTGGTGACGACCCAGTGAAGGATGATTTGTGAAAAACATGTTCATTTAAGCAACATCAATAGCATGCAATTAACAATTAAAGGCGGAATCATGCTTGTATGCACTTAAAACAAAACATTTACCCATGAAATTCAAAGCCTAGTAGATAGGTGAATCAAGACTCAACTCAAAAACAAAATGAGTTGAGAAATCAATACCTTTGTAGATTCCTCTTTGCATAAGCAAAGGCTAATCACCCAAAGAGAGGGCCTTCATTCCTTGCATCTTGGATCCATGGATTTGGATGGATGAAAAGGTTTCTCCAAGTTCCCAAAATTGAGAACCTCTAAGTCTCCACACCAAGGTATATTGTAGAAGAAATGAGTGACCTAGAGGAAGTAAGATTGCTAGCTATTCCCCTCTAGATTGGCCGGCCTCTTTGAGAGCAAAGGGAGGTTTGTGTTCTCATCTTTACTCCCTAGAAAACCCTAAGGATGAAATGGCTATAAAGATGTCTTTATACCACCTCACAATAGAGTGGCAAACTTGCAATTAAGCCAAATTCACTACCCTCCTCTAAATGGCCGGCCTATGGGGATTAATTGGGCTATTTGGGCCTTTGTGAATCATTATTCATTAAGTTGTCATACAACTTAAGTCAATGGACTTGACGTTCGAAGCCCATTGGGCCTTAAGGTCCAAAACTATCCCGAGGTCTTCAACGAACTTATTCGTTTGATTAATAATCATATTAATTAATCCTTGCCATAAATAAT